TTCAGAAAACAACTAGCTCATCTTATCAGAAGTTCTTTAATCTAAAATTGAAGGGAGGGGGCAAGCTTTATGACCTTTAGAATCTAATTCCGAGGAAAAAGATAACTAAGGGGGTTGGGAGTAAAGAGAAAGAAGAAAGAAAAAAAGAAGATAGAGAGTGATGAGAAGGTTGGAAAACCCACTTACAACGTAGGAGATATAAGAAACATACCCAAGACCTGTAAAGGACTCAAATGCCTATACACTAATGCTCAAAATCTAGGCAACAAACAAGGTGAACTTGAAGTACTAGTAAATGAAGGCAGATATAATATAGTTGCCATTACTGAAACTTGGTGGGATGAAACTCATGCCTGTAATGTACTAACCCTAACCCTAACCTAACCAATGAGGAGTTGCATTATATATCACTACATCTGTACAGAAATACACAAAACCAAGAATGAAAACCTCTTAGAATACATATGTATCAATGTAAAAGGAAAAAACAATGACATTGCTATAGTCATATACTACAGGCCACCCAAGCAAGCAGAAGAAATAGATGAAATTTCCTACAAATATATGCAGGAAACATACCACAGTAGTAATGGGAGACTTTAACTACCGTGATATCAACTGGGAGACAAACTGCAGCAAGTGGGAGATCAAACAAATTCTTAACCAAGTTAACTGACAACTTTGTCATCCAAAAGAAAAACTATACTGATCTAATTCTTACTAATAGAGAAGTGATAGAGGGAGTTGAAATTGCCAGAACTTTGGATAAGATTGACCATGTCATATTGGAATTCAATATAATGCAAACACAAGCAATAGAACATAATCCAAACAGTGTCTTAAACTTTAAAAGAGCAGATTTTAACAAACTCGGAGACAGCCTAGGAAAGATGATTCCATGAATGAAAATCCAAAAGGGGAAAATAACTCAAGAAGCATGGGAAACTCATAAAAGCCCAGTCCAGCAAAATACCATTGAAAAAGAAAAGAAATCCAAGAAGAAACCAGCATATCTCTGATAAACTGAAAGACAAAAAGGATAAATACAAAAAATGGAAACAGGGACAAATAACTATGGCAGAATATCATCAGATAACCCAAATCTGCAATGATAAAGTCAGGAAAGCAAAGGCTCAGAATGAACAAAGGTTTGCAACAAAAATCAAAGGTAATAAAAAAAAGTTTCTTTCAATATATAAATAACAAGAAAAAAGTCAAGGAAACGGTCCACTGAAGAGAGAAGATGGCAAGGAAATAACAGGCAGTAGACAGAAAGCAGAGCTGCTTAAATCATTCTTTGCATCAGTCTTCACACAAAAAGAAGCTATAGCCCAACCTACGAAAAACATGACTGTAAAAGACAGACTAGAAATAAAAATTAAAATAAGCAAGAAAATGGTAAGAGAACACCTGTCTGATCTTGATGAATATAAGTCACGGATTACATCCCAGAGTTCTGAAGGAGCTGGCAGATGTCATCTCAGAACCATTGTACCATATCTTACAAAAATCCTGGAGCACTGGGAAACTAGCTGAGGATTGGAAAAGAGGTGATGTGGCTCCCATCTTCAAAAAAGGAAAAGAAAAAACAGACCCAGGAAACTACAAACCAATCAACATCAATACGTGGGAAGATACTGGAAAAAATAATCAAAAACAGATCTGTGGAATCTAGAAACAAATAAAGTTATAACTAGAAGCCAGCATTGGTTTGTTAAAAACAGATCATGCCAAACCAATCTTATTTAATTCTTTGGCAAAATTAAATTAGTAGACCAGCGAAATGCTGTGGACATAGTATACTTAGATTTCAATAATGCATTTGACAAAGTAGACCACAACCTACTTCTTGGTAGGAAAGAAAGAAAACAGTGGGGTATCACAAGGTTCCATCTTAGCCCCAGTACTCTTCAGTATCATCTAAGTGACTTAGATGAGCGAATAGAAGGAAAACTAATCAAATTTGCAGATTTGCACTAAACTGGAAGGAATAGCCAATATCCCGGAAGACAAGCTCAGGATCTAAAAAGATCTTGACAGACTTGAACAATGGGCCCTACCCCCCAAAAAAGAAATTTAATTTGTTAAAAAACAAGGTTTTACATTTAGACAGGAAAACCCAACGTACAAGTATAGATTAGCTCAAAAACAGTAACTGTGACACTGACCTTGGAGTGCTAGTGGCAATCACTTAAATATCAGCCAGCAATGTAAGGCAGCAGCCAAAAAAGCTAATACAATTCTTGATTGTATAAACAGAGACATAGAATCAAAATCACTTGAAGTATTAGTACCACTTTATAAATCCTTAGTAAGATCACACCTGGAATACTGCATCCAGTTTTGGTCACATTGCAAAAAAGATGTTGAGACTTTGGAAAAAGTGCAAAGAAGAGCAACTAAAATGATTAAGGGCCTGGAGACAAAACATACAAAGAACAGTTGCAGGATTTAGGTATGGCTAAGCTAGAGAAAAGGACTGGGGTGACATGATAGCAATATTCCAGTATTTGAAGGGTTGCCACAAAGAGGAGGGGGTCAACTTATTTACCAAAGCACCTGTAGCCAGAACAAGAAACAATGGATGGAAACTAATCAAGAAGAGAAGCAACCTGGAATTAAGGAGAAACTTAACAGAGAGAACAATTAACCAGTGAAACAGCTTGCCTTCAGAAGTTGTGGATGCTTCATCACTGGAGGTTTTTAAGAAGAGACTGGACAACCATTTGACTCAAATTATATAGGGTCTCCTGCTTGAGCAAGAGGTTGGACTAGAAGACCTCCACGGTTCCTTCCAGCTCTATTCTGATTGACTGATTGATTGATTGATTGATTGAATTAAGGAGCTGAAAACAGGCCTTAGGTATATGGACTGCAACCAAAGATTCAGCCTCAACCGGAGCACTTCTAGTAAGGAAAAAGTCACCACATGATGTGGTAAATCCTCTCCATTCTGATTAATGCACCCAGTGACAGTGTTTGCCTCTTAGCAACTGAATCAGACTGCATCTCATGATCAACTGGTGATGAGGAAGGACCTCTAGATCCCTTTCACAGGAGCTGCTACCAAACCAGGTGTCTCCCATCTCTTATTTCTACCCTACATTCTACCTATCCAGATCAGACCTTGCATGTCTTCCTGTTCAGTCCCATCTTGTTCATTTCAGCCCAGCATTGCAAATGATTCTCCCTGCCATCTTAAGTCTATAGGCCTCCTTCCTTCTGCATCATCTGCAAACTTGGTCAATGTTCCTCATCTCCCTCATCTAAACCATTGATAAAAACAATGAATGTGCCTGGGATGGAGCATTGTGCTCCCCTCCCCACCCCACCCCACCCCATTTGAGGCTTTCCTCCAAGTGAAGTGGTGACTTAATGAGGAATCCTCAAGCGGGAGGCACAAAACTCTGACCCACATCTGCCCAAAGTTTTCCTTCACGGAGGGACAGCAAATGTTTTAGAGGAGAGTGAAGGAATTCAAGGGATTGAAAGGCTCGAGTGTTTCCAATTGTTAAAATTGGAAAGTGAAAATCTATGGATCCCATGTCCCTCTCCATGTACCCATGTTAGTCAGCAGCCGGACCGGGTCTCCCCGCCTTTGACTTCGGGCCTCATCCGCAGTGCTGCCTCCAGTTCAGTGACACCCTGTGTGCAAGTACAGAGGGGGCCTCCTAAAATGGGGAAGGGTCTGGAAACAAAGCCTTGGGAGGAACCTTTGGCCTATAGAAAATTTGGCTATGGGGCTGCAACGGCTGTCGTGTATCTGGAGGGTGGTTATCCCACTGAAAAGGGAATGGACTCTATTGCCCCAGACAAGAATCAGGGAGTTGAACCTGCGAGAAAGGCCTGTGGAGGGACAGTACAGGCTGTCCAACCCATGGAAAAGGCTGCCAGTGACACAGGGCTGTCTCCTTTGCTTGAGCTTTGGAAACAGGAGCTGGATGTCATCTGTCAGAGATACTCCACTTGGATCCAACCCTGAGCAGGAAGCTGGACTGGATGATCTCTAAGGAACCTCCAATTCTAGAATTCTTTGGTGGGTTCACCAAAGGTTCACCTAGGGGGGAGTTGAGAGAGGGGAAAGGAGGAGCCCCCCAAACCGTTAACTCCTTTCTTGGAGGGGGGGGTTGGAGCCCAGGCAACACAGAACTGGAATATCACCCGAGCCCCACGGATGACCCAGTCCCTCCATACTGTAGGCAGCCACGTGTGCCCCTCTGACCAGGGTTTGGATGGGCTTTCCACAGGGGTCCGGGGGAACTGCTCCTGATAAATGTGCTTTTCCCCAGTTCAGCGCGCGGGGTATGTGTGTCCCGGGAGGGCTCAGCCGCCTTTCCCAACCTGTCCGGCTGGCTGCTTGGGTGGGGGCGAAGGACCGGCCCCTGCGCTTCGGAGCTCGGACCGACCAGCCAACGTCTTCTCCGACGTGTCTTTTTGCCGCCGGAACCAGGGCATGCGGAGGCTAAGCCATGAGCAGGAACTGGCCCCTTTCTGCCTGGAGGGCCACCGGGACCGCCGCCAGGCAGCGCGCTCAGCCCCGCGAGGGGGCGCCCGGCCCCGCCTGCGCTGAGAAGGCGCGCTGGTTGCCGGGCGACGATCGCAGGCGCGCGAGAGCCTGGCCGGCAGGGAGGCTCCACGGGTGGGTGTCCCCCGACCGGAGCCCCCGCGCTTTTCAGCCGCGGATCGGGGGCCGCCGCGTCGGGCGAGGGGTCGCGAGGGATGCCAGCCCGCCGGGCACGCCAGGGAGCCTTCTGCGGTTCCCCCCCCCCCAACGATCGCCCGTGGGCAAAGAGCCACCCACCCACCCACCCCACTTTGCTCGGCTTGGGTCCAGGCCTTGGCAGATGCCTGTGCAGCTCTGAGCACCGGAGGAGTCCTAAAAAGCAGAGCCGGTGCGGAGCAGGGCCAGGATTAGGAGATGGAAAGGGAGGTCCTGGAGGATCCAACCGGATCCTCGAGAGACCCGTCCGGGCTTTCTTGCAGGCGCCGAAGGCTGCACTCCCGCCTTACTTTCCCACGCTCGGGGAAGGGAGGGAGGCTAGCCAAAGCTCCCAGGGCTGAAGGATCCCAGCGCCTGACTCCGCCCCCACCATGGCTCCGCCCACCCGTCACCCGCAACAATTCAGCCCAGAGCCCGGCGAAATTCGTTGGTCCTTCCTCCTGTTCGCTTGCCGTCCTGGTTGGAGCTGCCCATAATGCTGGCCGGTAGATGGCCGTTTTGACATCTGTTTCAGGATGCACGGTGGCCGTGGATTTCTCCCTCGGGCGTCTCCTCCCCACGCCCCCTCCCCACTTCCATTATTTCCCTCCAGTTTAGGAGCATGAGTTCTAAGAAAGCCGCGGGGAGAAGTCCGGTGAAAAAGGGAGCCAAGCCATCCGGAGCAGCCTCTGGGAAACCAGGTAGCAGACCGGCAGAGCGTGGGGAGGGGCCCTGGCCCGGCTCCCCACACAAGGGGCAGACCGAAGTGCTGTAGAAAGGGAAAATAGAAGGGGGGGGGTTAAGAAAGGGGAAGTGGAGCCCCTCCATCAAGCATGACTTTCGCCTAGGGTTTGGCTTTGGTAACAGAATCTTGGGGTGGGGGAGTCAGTTGCCCCTGCGCTCAGTGGGCGCAACCGGGGTGAAGGCAGAGCAGCCCAGTGGCTCCAGTGACGGACGTTGGGAGATTCTGTGCTGGTGGGTGGTGGTTGAAAGTGCTACCAAGGGGCAAGTCAACTTTGGGCTCCACTGTCTGACTGATGGGCATCTTAGTTGGCGAGAGCCCTTGACTCCTTAAAGATAGTATCTGGGCTTTGAGCTCAATTAAAAAAGGAGTTCAGCAACAAGGCCATCCTCCTTCATTAAACCCCAAGACCAATTCCAAGCCAGGGACCTCTGAAAGCAAGCCGGGCCTAAGGTGGCATTGGCAAGCAGGTGCTGCGGTCTGTGATCAAAGGCCTCCCTGCATCGGGAACGCTCCCTAGGTCTTTCCTCCCGTTCACCTGGAGCAAGAAGAAACCAGTCGGGGGTTTGAGAGTCAGAGCCCCAAAGACCTCGGGGGGGCCCTTTCCATGCGAGAGACCGTGTGGCTGAGGTAGTTTCTGGCTTTCACAACCCCTCGCAGCTTGGTGCCAAGTAGAGGTAGTCTTCAGCTTATGACCACAATTGAGCCCCAAATTTTCATTGCTAAGCAAGGCAGTTGTTAAGTGAATTTTGCCCCATTTTATGACCGTTCTTGCTACAGTTGTTAAGCGAATCACTGCAGTTGTAAATTAATCACACGATTGACTTCATTGACTTTGCTCGTCAGAAGGTTGCAGAAGGGAATCACATGGTCCAGGGACACTGCGACCGTCATAAATAGGAGTCAATTTCCAAACGTCTGAATTTGGATCACATGACCATGGGGATGCTGCAGCGATTATAATGTGAAAAACAGTCATGAATCAGTTTTTTCAGTGCCGTTATAACTTTGAATGGTCACTAAATGAATCGCTGTAAGTCAAGAACTACCTGTACTTGCTGGCCACCTCCTGACCAGACCAAACTCTTATCCTTACTTATTGAAAGAGACTTTTTGATATTTTTGTTATTTGTGTGATTTGATTTGATTTATATTATTAATATAATTTTTGTTAGCAGCCTAAAGTTCCATTTAGTAACCTGGGTGACCATTTATAGTGATGTTAAATAATAAACAAACAAACAAGAAGTGGTACCTTCCCTCCTTTTCCTTGAAAGTCCCTTCATTTCTTGGATAAACCCACCAGACAGTTTTCTTCCAGGAAGCGCTGACTCAGATCCTGGTCATATCCTTTCTTTCACCAAGCTTTGTGTTGTTGTGACACTTAAAATATGCCCGTAGTCTGCAAAATAAGCAAGCGAGTGGAATTTGAAGGGTTTGCGGAGATGTGAGAGATTGGAGAACAATTGCACAGAGACCAAGCTTTAAGACCCCCAAGGATTTTTCAAGGACTCTCCTTCCCATGGACTGAGCCTTGGCAGTTAGACTCACTCAGCTCTTCAGGTCATCGTATTCTAGAAAATGGGGACTATAATTCTGAGAATTGCGAGTGACGTCCGGTTTACATTTGGACTTTCTCTCCCGCTGTGACCTTTTCAGACCACCAAACAGATGGGAAAGATGCAGCCCCAGCAGATGACACTGTCCACCGCCAGGAGACCCCTGGTAGTCATCCCACAGGTAGGTAGGTGGGCACTGGGTCTTGCCCTGGTACCTGTCCTATCCTTAAATGGGAATGGAAATGGCTGAGCTCCTGTCAAAATAAAAAAAAAAGGCTCACAGTAACTCACGCCCTTGTAACCAACTTCCAAATTAGACTACTGTAATGGGGTTGCCCTTGAAGATTTTTCAAAAATTTCAACTGCTGCAGAATGCAGTTGCACAGGCAGCAACCAGTGCCAAATACACGGCACACGTAACACCACTCCTGCATCGGCTGCAGTGGTTACTGATATATTTCCAGGTGAAATTCAAGGTGCCAGTGGTTCCCTATAAAGCCCTAAATGGCTTGGGTACCACAGGGGTACCTGAGGGATCACCTTTTTTTCCAAAGTCTCTACATGTCCAACCAGGTCAAACGGAATGAACCTGCTGCAGATCCTGTCAGTCAAAGAACGTCGGCTGGCATCCTCCCTTCAGAGATCAGAATCCTGTTAGCCTTTCGTAAAGCTCTAAAAACCAGATTCTGTTCCCAAGTCCAGGGTGCTACATACGCCAAAGGAATTGGTGGGCCTGTATTTGGTACCTTCTCCTGGTCAGATCACAGTCTAATGGCGATGACTTTCTCTAGAGCTGTAGCCCCTTGAATCCATAGTATAGTATAGTATAGTATAGTATAGTATAGTATAGTATAGTATAGTATAGTATAGTATAGTATAGTATAGTATAGTATAGTATAGTATAGTATAGTATAGTATAGTATATTTTCCAGCTAGGAACTCGAGACTCCAGGCATGGGTATCACTCTGTCTTCTGGCTCTATGGACTGAGTTCAAACTTAAAGAGACGCCCTCCTTTGCACACGCTCCCAGATTCAACTCAGTCCTGAGCTCAGTTGGACGGATTTAGAGTTCTCTCTAGTTTAAATTTAGTTTAAACTTAAGGGATAGTGTTTCTGATTGTTATATTTTTTGTTTTGGTTTTTTTTTCCCTTTGTGTGTGTACCTTGAGTTTTAAAGAGTTTTTCAGAGTTGCGGCAGTGCGCTTTGGTGGCGGCGGCTATCAGGTGCGCGTGCTGAAGAAAGATCGTCGTGGGAGGGGGGTTCCTCGGCTGAGGACCCCTTGCTGCATCCGTGCCCAGCCTTAAATTTATTTTTGTCGCCTTGGTTTGCAGAGTGCTAGGCTGGGGGATCTCAGCTGTTTGGCGGCTAGAAGAAACGGCCGCCATTTTGTGAAGCGCTGAGCCGCGTGTGGGCTCCAACCAGGCAGTGGACGTCAGGACTCAATTATTCCTGCTTTGTGTCCTTACCACCTACCCTCCGAGGCTGTAAGTAGTAAGGAGGGGGGTGGAAGCACTGTTTAGAGGACCTTGGGCATTTTTGCGCCAAATTAGGCGGAGGAGGCCACCGGATGCAGCGGCCATTTTGTTTTCCCAAATTTTTAAAGGCACGGAGTAGCAGCTGCCACAGGGTTCGGGTTCTCGGCTCTCTAGTGCGGCTTAAGCCCTCAGGGACGCACAAAGGAGCCCAGACCCGGGTCCTATTCCCCTGAGGTGAACAGGAGGCCTGGTCACAGTTTGCTGAGCAGGGAGGGGAGTGCCATAGTGCAGTAGTGTGTAGTCTGCACAGGGTTTTTTTCCCCTCTTTTGAACTGGAGAACTAGACTGATTCCTTACTTCAGCTCCATTTCTGATCTATGTATTTTGCCTCAAGGATCGTTTTTCATCAGATCAAGTGAGGATGTTTCATCTATTCTGCTGTTGAGGATTATTCCTTGTAATACTGATGGAATAGAGATTTAAGATGTTTTTCTGGACACAGTATGGAGAGCAGTGGAGAGTCTCACAGACGATCTACCCGCAGCACTAATAGTGGCCGTGGTCTAAGTCTGGCAGTCAGACTGCAGCAGCAAAGATCAAGGCCAAGGCTGTGGCTCTCTCACGCGCCCATTAAGTGCGCAGGAAAGGGCAGAGAAGAGATTACATGATGCTTTAGAAGAGCAAGTGGCAAAGAGTCAAAAGGCAGCAGCAAGGCGTAGATATTTAAATAGTCCACAGCCTGCTCAAGATTCTTATTTAGCAGAACCAAGGCCTTCTACCAGTTTGTTAGTGTTTAGAGAATTATCTCCACCTTTGGAAAGAGAGCAGGTAGGGGAATAGGAGCAGAGTCTATCTCCTTCATCTGCGGTGGCACCTCAACCAGAGAGTCAGGCTGCTGGACAGGAAGTTGAGATGCCTGTGATTGTGCAGCAGTGGATTGCTGAGGCAGTGCAGCAGGGCTTTGCAGCTGGTCCTAAAGATCACAGCGAAAGAATATGGAGGTGGTTAAGCCACAGAGTTCTGCTGAACAGAGACCAGCTAGGTCACAGCCAAAATGGGAATCTGAGGTCTCAGTTTCCTCTTCAGAGTCAGGGAGCTCATTAGCAGGTGTTTCTGAGCGGTGGGATCAGGAATTTTCTGAGGAAGAAGGTCTGTTACCGAAACAGCCTGTATTCAAGGGGTTGTTTAGACCACAACTTTTTAAGGCTTTGCTCATGAAGGCTAAGGTCACCATGAAGGCTAAGGTCACTTCAGAAGAGATGGGGGTTAGATCAGAACAGGATCCAGCAGATTTACTGTTTTCAGAACCGGTTGCAGAAACTGATATTATAGCAGCTCCCCAGATGTTTCTAGACATCATTAGGAAACAGTGGGATACGCCAGGAACTCATACCAGCTCCTCTTCTTATGAAAGGAGATTTTATAACACCATACCCGTTCTCATGGAGCTCCTGAATATTCCAGATGTGGATGAACCGGTGCTAGCATTGTCCTCTTCCTCAGCTACCTTAGCCGAGCCAGAAGAGGTGCTAAAACCGGATGACCATAAGTTAGAGTAGGCTCTTAAGAGGGCTCACCAGGCGGCGGCCTGGGGGATCAAAGTAGCCACAGCAGCGTCCTTCTTCACCAGGGCATCGCTGTTGTGGCTTAAACAGATGCAGGATAGGGTACCGGTTTCAGATCTCAGAGCTCATCAGGATTTCAATAAGATAGTGGAGGCAGCGGAGTATACAGCTGATGCCACACTACATTCAGCAAAATTTGGAGCGCGAGCCATCGCTTCTACGGTGACGGCTAGGAGGCTCTTATCATTAATGAATTGGCAGGCAGATTCCAAGCGTAGATGGCGCTTGGCCTCTGTTCCTTTTAAAGGGTCCAAGTTATTTGGGTCAGCTTTAGATCCCTTTTTATCTGAACCAAAGGACAGGAAGAAGGTTCTTCCAGCTTTATCACGAAAGGCGGACACCCGATCTACTTCGCAGGATCGGAGGTCTTATTTTCGTCCCTATGGGGGAGCAGGTTTCTATAAAGGTCAGAGACGGTTTTATTTATTTATTTATTATTTATTAGTCCAATTTATTTGCCGCCCTTCTCCGTAGACTCAGGGCGGTTTACAATGCATTATAGTAATAACCTGAATACTTTTTTGTATATACCTGCTTATTAGGGCTTTCGGCCCCCCTTAAATGGTGTTGTTCTATACAAAGTTGGCTTATTGCCCCCACAATCCGGGACCTCAATTTACCTACCTCGAAAGGATGGAAGACTGAGTCAACCTTGAGCCTGGTGAGATTCGAACTTGCACTTAATTGCAAGCAGCTGGCAGCTAAGTGCTAGCACTTAACAGCACTTTAGTCCGCTGCACCACCGAGGCTCTTGGTTTTACCAAGGCCAGGGCAGTCAGGCGGGGCAGTTCCATCAGTCGGGGATGGGACAATCAGATAGGAACAGAGCAGCTCAGCCCAAGCATTCTTTTCGTGGAGGGAATTCACGTTCCTTTCGCAGATCCCGTTGACTGGAGGCTCGAAGCTCCCATTGGTGGCCAGCTAGGCCTTTTTGCAAATCAGTGGGAGAAATCCACCACAGATGCATGGGTAAGGGGGACCATCACTTCAGGTCTAGCTCTAGAATTTCTTGCGGTTCCCCCAAGGGTTTTTGTCCATTGCCCAAAGTCAAGAGATGTAACAAAGAGAAGTATATGGAAACAGCCATTCAGCATCTGATAGACATAGCAGCAATGGAGCCCATTCCCTTATCAGAACAGGGGAAGGGTTATTACTCAATGCTGTTTGTCATACAAAAACCCTCGGGGGGACTTCGACCAATTCTAAACCTGAAGGGCCTAAACAAGTTCTTGAGGTATCGGAGGTTCAAGATGCGCTCCCTCCGGTCAATTTTGGCAAATGTTCGGAGGGGTGACTTCTTGACCTCCATCGACCTCACAGATGCATATCTGCACATTCCGATTCATCGGGAGTACAGACAGTATCTGAAGTTTTATTATGACAGCCGACATCTCCAATACCAAGCGCTTCCATTCGGCCTAGCTTCTGCTCCCAGGGTCTTCACAAAGATCCTGGCGGATTTGGGGAAGGTACTCAGGTCCAAGCCGATTCGTCTCCAGGCTTACCTGGATGACATTTTGGTGCAGTCAACATCTCTAGCTCGGACAGAGTCGGATCTGAATACCACGGTCCAATGGCTGCAGGCTCACGGTTTCTCTATAAATATAGAGAAGAGCCATTTTCTCCTGACAAATTACCTCATTCACCTAGGGGCGGTTATAGACACGATTCAGTGCCAGGTGTTCCTGTCTCCGGATAGGTTGGAGGACATCAAGAGTTTGACCAGACAGGTGATGGCTGCACCCGGAGTGACTTTAGCACAGCTCTGTACCCTGTTAGGCAAGATGATTTCGTGCATAGAGATTGTGCCTTGGGTGAGATTTCACGCCAGACCTCTGCAATGGTTCATGTTACCGTTTGAGAAGTCAGGAAGGGCAACGTTGCGGACCAAGGTCAGGATTCCGGGATTGGTCAGAGCATCCCTGAGCTGGTGGATGTCCGGTGGCTGTCATACGGATGTTACTTCCTAGTACAGGAGAGAGTCACAGTGACCACAGACGCCAGTTTAGTAGGATGGGGGGCTCATTGCCAGCATCAGATGGTGCAGGGTGTTTGGTCACGGGTGGAGGCACAGAAGT